TTAGGTACTTTGCCTCATCTTATGTGTCTTAATCTCTCTTCTAATCACCTTGGGAAATCTGATCGCAATACGTGGGAATGGCTAGAGCAAACTGCAATCAGAATTAGATTGTGTGATTTAAATCTGTCGGACAATCTGGTAAGACTTGCACTATTTATTTGTCAAAACATCATAAAAAGAACCAAAATTATTATAAAAAAATAAAAAGGTTTATATTTATTATCTACTAATAAATTATAAAATTATTAATTATTTCTAGTTAATGGAATTACCGCCACAAATTGGAAAACTAAATACTTTATTTTTTTAAATCTCAAATGCAATAAGTTAAAATATTTACCACAAAGTCTCGCAAATCTAAAAAATTTAACATTTCTTGATTTGTCCGACAATGATTTATTATATTTACCAGGAAGTATAGCACAGTCATGGGCGTTTATAAATGTTAATGGGAATCCATTTAATTTAGATGACGATAGTTATGATAATTCGACTACGAATTTGGAAGTGCCAAGTCTTCTGGATTGTTCAGCTGAAATTTTCCTGAAATATAGGTTTGTTGCTATTATTTCGATGTTTTTAATTATATTTAACCTGACTCTTTAAAAATACTGTGTAAGTCAAAATTATTTCAATATTTTTAATAATCTTGACGATTATATAGATTAAATTACACAAACGGATTACCACAAGAATTAGTCAAATATTTGGATAATAAAAGATATTGCTTCTTTTGTGTAACTCCATGTTTTCGTTATTATGGAAAGCGCTTTATAAATTATCTTAAGTATAAGAAAATACTGAATCCTAAGTTTATCCCGGTTCTATCACTACATATTGAGAAAGCAAAGTTTGAATGTTACGCTTGTTCATCAGAATGTGCTAAAAGATTAAAGTTTGATTAGTTTATTCGACTTAAAATTTACAAAATGTAATCTATATAAAAATATCTGATATAGCCGATATCAAAACTTTTGAATTTTATATAATTATTGATGAGTATACACATAATTTATCGATATTAGTCGATATTATTATTTTTGTATATAAAATTTGAAACACAAAATTATATATATATTTAGTGATAGGATTCCACAAATAGATTCTTACTTGCAAATTTTTAAGCAAACCACGATTGACTGAAAATAAAAAATATTAAAACATTTTGCAGACTGTTTTAATTGAGAATTTTGGCAAATTTTAAAAGCTTTAAAGCCTTGAATGTGTATATATGCATGTATATTGTATATATATATATATATTGTATACATACATGTGCCTGTGTATATGTATATATATGTGTTAAATTATGTAAAATATTTCACACATTCATATTATTCAAGGCGTTGAAGACATTAAGACTTGCAAAATTTTTAAGATTTTCAAGATTTTTTTATCATAACAGTCTTACAAAATGTATTGAAGTTTTTTGATTTCTTTAACTCAAAATATTTTTTGCACGATTTTTATACTTTACCACTAAGTTTATGTATTTTTTTTTTTATAAAATGCATGTTAAGTAGATACAAAGTATTAATACGTTTAATCGACATATTCTTAAGGCTTAATATTAAGTGCAATATTTTTCATAAAAATACATATAATATGCAACGATTTGTGACATTAAGAATATATTTCTTAGAAAACTGAGTAATGGTTTTGTTATTTTAATTTTTGTATTTTAACAAAGTCAGGTGTGCTAATGGAAAAATTTAATAAATTTTTTTTTGCATATATATATGTTTACATATCATTTATTTACGTTTACAAATTTTTTATTATGTC